AAAATACAGTTCTTTCTCTAACAAACCCCATATAAACCCAAGTTTAACAATTTGTAGAAAACTTCAAAAAATGGCAACAAATTTTCACCTAAGTTTCAAACTTTTTTCTCGGAAGTGTTAGAATTTTTTTGAGTACACAGTTTTTTAGCCACTGCAATTTTAGTCTGATAATGTGCAAATTTCAAGTGGCTACGAATTACCATTAATTTTTTAGAATTTTTTTGTCGCATTCGCTTTCATATGATGAATAAACTCAATTTATTTGTATATGGATGAAAACCTCAACACCTTTGGCGAAAAAAATTCTAAAAAATCAACGGTAACTTTCAGTCACTTGAAACTTGCACATTATCAGACTAAAATTGATTGGGCTATAAAATTGTGTATTCGGAAAATATTCAAACACTTCCGAGAAAAAAGTTTGAAATTTAGGTGAAAATTGGCTGCACTTTTTTGAAGTTTTCTACAAATTGTTAAACTTGGGTTTATATGGGGTTTGTTAGAGAAAGAACTGTATTTTAATTCTAAATTCTCAAAAATAAATAAATAAACATAAGTTGCATACAATATCACTTTGAAATGGCGTGCTATAGATATGACCGATACTGTATTTGGTATTTTGAAGGTAGCAACTACTTTAAATCAGCATGAAATGCAACTCTGTGAAATTAACAGTCGTAGCAAGAACGATAGAATACAAGATTGCGCATTCCCGCAGAATGACATTTGTGGCAACGGGTAAACAAAGAATATGGCGAAGAACAATGAGTTGACAGTTGTGAATTTGCAGTGAGAAAACATGTTTTCTTCTCGATTCACCAATTTCTCAAGCCATCTTTGAATATAGCAAATTAAGCACAACGTTAAAAAAAAATTTACAAACACTCTTGAAATGTGTTCAAAAGAATAGTCTTATTCTTATTAAGTCTTATTAATTAACCATTAATAATTTTTGTGTTTGTATTGCAGGTGCCGAAAAAGTGATAATATCTTATCGCAGCGCATGTTTTCCTGCAGAAAGTGGTCGATGCTTGCTTACCTCCGATTTTAATTTTTAATTTGTGGTATTTCAACGTTTTCAACTTAACAAGTCGTGTATAAAGTGGTCCGTAAAGTGTTCCATGCATATTACGCTGGTGCCTAAATTGTATGGCTTCTCCTGCCGGCAGAACTCTACCCACTTTCTGGCCAAGGCGTCGTCGCGGGGAAACAAAAAAAAAACTGCATTTGAGGGCTTTACCCCTACGTCTGCTGCAATTCAACACACGACACGACATTTTTATAAAGTTTTTATTACAAATAAAACGTTTTTTACTTCAGAACGCACGAATTACTTCGATATTTCACTTGAAAGTACACAATACGTTTGCACTTGTTTCTAAACAAAAAGTTTGTTTACGTATTGCCATAAATGTCAAAGTCGGCAAAACCAAAGTAGCGGTTTTGGGAATGCGCCACCTTCAGTTCATTTCACCATGCAGTCGTAGTACATTGTTGCTATCTCTTTCTTTCAAATTTTGAGGGGTTTCATTCTCACTAGTACACAGGATTGAACTAATATATGTCCATACTAGGAATGTTCGATATCGTTTCGATTATTCTGAATATCGATATTTCACGGCACGATAATCGATTTTTTGAATCGATATTCCAAGGTCGATATATCGAAGACATCGATACTTTACCCGCAATATCGATATTTAAGTTGAAATTTATTTTTCATCTAGAAAAAAGTGTATGGGAAAATACTTAAGTAGGTTTAATCAGCAGCTTGTGTGATTTACAGCCCTATTCGCGTGTTGTCACAGTCATCAATTGTCCAAATCGTGTCATCAACTGTAGTCATAGGTATGCACAGTCAATAATGACAAGCAAAAAGCTCGTTTTATTTGCCCATTGCGGCGAAAGTTTCTCTATAGTTAAACAGCTGTTCTTTGTTTACATTTTAACTGGACTTTTTGACCCACACTGCAACAGACGGAATTTCTTTTAAATAAAATACATCGCAGCAATAGATTACGAAACGCCGAAAAAGTGAGTAATTTTATAATAGGAAAATGTATTTCATTTAATTATGAATTCGTGTAGTAAGAGGCGTGAAAGATATGAATGCACCACACGTGAAAGATATGAATGCACCACACAAGTGCAGCTACAGTTTTGTGAATACCACCCCGAACTACAAACGTGTAAAAACTGTCGAAAAAACTGTTGTCTAGGAGTTCCCTCAGAAGTCTTCTTCTCTGTATAATATCTTCTTGCTCCACAATAATAGCCGCGTACATAATAATTATTTCCTCCATACGCATACGCAAATAAAAACTTTTTAACACACCTGTTGAAGCAAATAAAATGGTTTCACAGTTTAGTAAAATTTTGCAACTTTTTTCTGCAAAATTAATCAAACCGTTGGAGCTTTCAAATTGCCCTCTGCATACCTAAACGTGATAATTGATTATAAACATGGCAATAGGGCTGTTATTTAGCTTTTAAGTTTGACAAACCGCTTGAGTCGACCGGCATGCCGTTTTAGTGCTCAGTAATTATACAAGATGGAAATAACACAATTAGGTGAGTTGATAGGCAGGTCTAATATTCTATTCAATTGGGAGTAGGATTTTCAACATCGATTTTTCCGATATCGATATTGTTCAGCCCGATATATCGCCATATCGATTTTACATGCAATGAATTAAATCGATTCATGATATCGATACTTTCTTAAATATCGAACATTCCTAGTCCATACTTGCATTTGTGTTGGTTCACTGGTGTGTGTGTATTACCCAGTAGAAATCGGTTGTATGCATTCGTGAAGAAAGCTTGCTATATGAGTGNTCGATATTCCAAGGTCGATATATCGAAGACATCGATACTTTACCCGCAATATCGATATTTAAGTTGAAATTTATTTTTCATCTAGAAAAAAGTGTATGGGAAAATACTTAAGTAGGTTTAATCAGCAGCTTGTGTGATTTACAGCCCTATTCGCGTGTTGTCACAGTCATCAATTGTCCATATCGTGTCATCAACTGTAGTCATAGGTATGCAGTCAATAATGACAAGCAAAAAGCTCGTTTTATTTGCCCATTGCGGCGAAAGTTTCTCTATAGTTAAACAGCTGTTCTTTGTTTACATTTTAACTGGACTTTTTGACCCACACTGCAACAGACGGAATTTCTTTTAAATAAAATACATCGCAGCAATAGATTACGAAACGCCGAAAAAGTGAGTAATTTTATAATAGGAAAATGTATTTCATTTAGTTATGAATTCGTGTAGTAAGAGGCGTGAAAGATATGAATGCACCACACGTGAAAGATATGAATGCACCACACAAGTGCAGCTACAGTTTTGTGAATACCACCCCGAACTACAAACGTGTAAAAACTGTCGAAAAAACTGTTGTCTAGGAGTTCCCTCAGAAGTCTTCTTCTCTGTATAATATCTTCTTGCTCCACAATAATAGCCGCGTACATAATAATTATTTCCTCCATACGCATACGCAAATAAAAACTTTTTAACACACCTGTTGAAGCAAATAAAATGGTTTCACAGTTTAGTAAAATTTTGCAACTTTTTTCTGCAAAATTAATCAAACCGTTGGAGCTTTCAAATTGCCCTCTGCATACCTAAACGTGATAATTGATTATAAACATGGCAATAGGGCTGTTATTTAGCTTTTAAGTTTGACAAACCGCTTGAGTCGACCGGCATGCCGTTTTAGTGCTCAGTAATTATACAAGATGGAAATAACACAATTAGGTGAGTTGATAGGCAGGTCTAATATTCTATTCAATTGGGAGTAGGATTTTCAACATCGATTTTTCCGATATCGATATTGTTCAGCCCGATATATCGCCATATCGATTTTACATGCAATGAATTAAATCGATTCATGATATCGATACTTTCTTAAATATCGAACATTCCTAGTCCATACTTGCATTAGTGTTGGTTCACTGGTGTGTGTGTATTACCCAGTAGAAATCGGTTGTATGCATTCGTGAAGAAAGCTTGCTATATGAGTGCTTTAGTGTGAACAATTCATGCGGAGTCATGAATTTCCGCGAATAAACTCAAATTCCAGTGAATTGCAAGCGAATGTACGTTGTCGTTGTTTTAAGTATATTTCTTGATAAATTTGAAGTGGAATTTTTGTAATATTTTCAGTCTTGTACAAAAATTTTAGTGAACGGACGTGTTGTGCGATACTATTTTCAGCAAAAACGGGATTTTACAAGATATGCATTTGCATATGTAAATGCTACGTGTTTGTATGTCCCCGTATATTAAAATGTATCAGAGAAGTAGCATTTACATATGGGGATACATATCTTGTAAGAATGCTTTAATACTGTTCCGTTAATGCATTTTTGTATGTTTGAAACATTAATACAACCATATGCATACAGCAGTAGTACAAGTGCATGATTAAGGTACGCATACGCTCTGAGAAACCACGCGTGTTAAATGGAAGTGAAGGTTCATTTATACTGGCATGTATACACAGCAGCAAGCTCATGTCACAAACAGTGATGTCGTATGCTTAAAATTTCTACTGGGTTTCTCAGGTTTGTCTAGTAGGGATGGTACCGTCCAGTGATGGAAAAGTCGGCACTATAGTGCCATTTTTGCACTTTCTTTCACAGAGGCACTTTTGGTACAATTCATTCCGTTTTGGCACAATCATAAATTATAGAAACTTAGCATAATATGCCAATATACTATATAACAAATAATCACATATTACATTATTGATTAAAAAATTACAAAGAGTGAAAATTAAAAGCACTAAAAAATTAAAATAAGGGCCGTGAGAAATATTGTGTCGCAGCTTTTGACAAAACACAAAATCCTATTGTGAAGGCCCAGCACAAAAAGTAAGTTTAGAAGATTCTAACAGGTCTATTCTGCACGTTACCGAAGAGTTTGTAACCGGAAAATTTTATTACCAAAAAATGTTACCAGTTCTTGTCACCACGATTCTACGAACATTGGTAATGCAGTTCAAATATTCAGCAATTCAGCTATGAAGAATTGTGCAAATTCTGGCATTGCATATTTCACGGGGCAATACTTTGTTACCAGCTTATGAGATGGTAACAAAATTTACCGGTTACAAGAGTACACAGAATGCGAAAAGGGTTTAAAAATTTACAGGAACTTTATTTACGGGTTACAAACTTTTTATTACCAGCGCAGAATAGACCTGTAAGTTTGCAGTTTTATAGTCCGATAAATAAAAGGGCAAGTTCCTGCAAAATCCCGTTGATTATGGATAATTTTTTTTTGCTGACGTTGTGATATGTGACCTNGGAAAACGACAACAAAGAAAAATACATAAACTACTCAGCATTATTATTTTTGGCCCATAATACGTTTTTCTAGTGTATAATCATGTCTTTATAGCTTATAATTCAATGTATTTTGTTCATTACCAATAAATTATATTTTGTCGTATTTTTACTCTTCTTTCTCTACATTTTTAGTACACTTCTAAGCAAGTTAGGATTTTCTGCTTTTCACCACGTGAAAAAGCATCTCATCTTCCATCCGAATCAACCAAAAAGTGAAAGTTGATTTTTTGACACCTAAGCCCCCTTTCCGTAGACCAGGTCACATATATGTATTTTCATCCATTTAAAAAACTTTCAAACACACTCTATATCGAAAAAATGCGTACAATCGTAGACTTGGAATCTCTCTAAGAATTCTGAATTAAAAGTTTGTAGCTGCCTTATTTTTAATTTTTGAACAAGGACGAGATGTCGATTTGTGTACATACATACATAGATGTATGGTGTTCGTTAAATTATGAGTTTGACTTTTATATAAAATCAAAAAGAATATTTATCAACTGGTGAAACTGGTCAAAATGGCTTACCGCCATTATTTCGCATATAGGTAGGTTCACTTTCGCGTGAATAAAAGAAGGTTGAATTTTTTGATAAGAGATATTTAAATTCACTATTTTATTAAACTTCTACTGGGTATATTACAATATATT